CATCGTTTACAGCTGCTGTTTACGACGAGCGTAAAAAGTTACCGTTTTTTGACGTATTGAGTTGGTGAACGGCCGTTTACTGCCGAGCGTCATTGACCTGGGCAGGTCAACAACTTTGGCCTGATCTGGCCTGTTACGCTTGCTCAATACTACATGTATGGATCAGGCCAGGCTAAAATTTCAAAATTCAACTTGACCGAGGAACCGGGCACAGTATCAGATCTCGTACATATAAGAACCACAGGTATATCGACAGTAGATTGTTGATAAGAAAATAGCTATCAACATACCCCGGTAAGATGATGTCAGTTGATAGAGTCGACTATGTAAGTATTGAACTACCACCGACATAGCACAAATTGTACTAAACGGACTATCGGTGGTTTTTGTCCCGTTTGAATCACATAGGAAACTATACGTCTATACGACGCTGCATATGTCTTCAGCCGATGCAATCGCAATCGAGTTGTAACAAAGTTATTAGTCCTCTTTTGTTTCACTGAGTTTCATCACCAATTCATACATAGGCATAAAATGACTCCGGTAATCGCATGAGTAGCTTGGGTAGTCAAACTCAGAAGTTGTACTCAAATGGATAAGGATTTTCACTAGAGATCTAGATCCAATCGTTGGATTCTATTCGTTCAACTTATATTTCACTGAATCCTTTTACGGCGCACTATTATTATGAATATACCTATTTCATCAACTGATCATTTATCTGACTAAGAAGCATTGGAGTTGGAATTTGTTAATCATGGATAATCCTTTAACACAATAATTTGATCATCTACCATTTCGAAATATGGCTTTCTATTAAAAAATATGTTTTCATCTTCATTTAACAATACTTGTTATCGTGACCAAGATTATACGTCACGGTTTTCTAGCAACTACAATATTGATAAAAATGACTTCTGATATCTGATAATTTAATACGAGATAGTTCTCTTTATAGATGGACAATAGAACAAGACAAACATTGCTGTTGAACAATACAAACAACACATGTCCGGCACCTCTTTTATGGACTAGAGATGTTGTTGACGATGAAAAAGCTGCACTGGGCATTTGTATTACTGCTTCAGTTGTTCATTCAGCATTTTGGTTTCAATTAATTTTTTCTTCATCTATTCGACAAAAATCAATGCAATGGATCTATGCATATCTTCTTACAGACATTTTTCTTCTTTTTCGCTTTTACTTTTCTTACACTATTCATACAACATCTACTGAATGTCAACCAAGCAGATCACGAATTTTATTTATCTGCTATTTTGAAGCGATACTTGATAATTATTTTAATATACTTAAAGTGTATATTTTATTAGTTTTGAATATATGTCGTTATGTACAAATCGTATACAATCAAAATGTATACCAAATCAATAGGTGTCTATTGATCTTAGCTCATCTTGGCATTTATATAATTCCATTACTTGTTTACATCGCTCCATGCATCCTTGGTTGGACTGATGTAAGTGGATTTGTTAGAGATACATGTGTAATATTTTATGCGAATATGTATATTCAAATATTTAATACAATATTTGCATTTGCATTACCTATTTTTCTTAATATCTTGGTAATTTCTGCTAGTATCCGCCATGTTCGTATAAAAGCAGCTTTACGAAAAAGTCAACATTATGTTTCAGCTCGTGAAAAATTTCATCGTTCATTAGTCATTCAATTCATTTGTTTTTATGCTCTTTGGGCTGGACTATGGTCACCAAATATTATTGTTTATCAAGCATCAATCAACAAGAAGAATGTAATTTATATTGTTGGAATACTTAATTATATTGATGTAGCAATAGATCCAATAATTATTGCAGCATTAGACTTTCGTCTTTGGCATGCATGGCGAAAACACTTAGTTCGTATAAAAAATACTATATTACTCAATGCACCTAGTCATGCACGAGTTCAACCTTCAACAGCAAATGTCCATACAATTTCGTTTAAAACTCCGAGACAAAAAACTACCACTATGTGAACACAAAAACCTAGAAAACCTTATTTTCTGGAACTAAACCTTTTGTTCTCTCGTACATACAACAAAAAAACGCTTTTGTACATAGCATTTTAAATAATAAATGTATTTATCACTGCTTTTTTTCTCTGAAAAATTTCGTCCAATTGAAACCAAGGACTAAAGTACTATAATCCGCGGGTCGAGTCCCTGCACAGGTAGAGTGGGAATCTGGAAAGTAACAACTTTTATAGACACAAACTTCAC